ACACCGCTGCCCACACACAGATTTCCCCACTTGCCTCACACATGTCAGATTTCTTTGGGCCAGGGCTGCTGGAGTCGGCGCTGGCGCCTTCGGCCGGGCTGTGCGAGCGGATCCTGCTGCTCATCTGAATCCCCCCTTCCTCCTCCTCGGCCTGCTCGTTCTGCCCGGAGATGTCCCCGCTGCCGGCGCCCTGCGGGAGCGGCGAGTGCAGCACCTCGGTGCAGAACAGCGTGCGGGGGCCGTGCAGCTCACAGAAATGGCACAGGGCCACGATGGCATTCATGGTGAGGGCTCAGCGCGGCCGCCAGGCCAGGCCTCCTGCGGCAGGGACAGAGACACGGTCAGCACAGGGATATCCCAGGATATCTCAGGCCTCACTGCTGCCAGGGCTGCTCTGCATCCCACCAGGAGCAGCTGGCCTTGAGCTCAGCCTGAGCCTGAGACCATCAAGTCCAACCTGTGACCAAACCCCACCTTGTCACCCAGACCAGAGCACTGAGTGCCATGTCCAGTCTCTCCTTAAACACCTCCAGAGATGGTGACTCCAACACCTCCCTGGGCATTCCACTGATCCAGGACCAACCTCCTGTTTGCTGATGGGATGGCCTCGAGCAACCCAGCCTGCCATGCTCAGATGCTGGATGCTGATCCAGGACACCTCAGGCCCCACAGGGGGAATGGGGCTGGACCAATCCCTCATGCCCAGATACCTCCAGCATCACAGGGACAGGTTCAGGGAATCTCAGAATGGTTTGGGTTGGAAGCAACCTTGAAAATCATCCAACACAACCTCCTGCCAGTGACAGGGACACCTTCCACTGTCCCAAGTGGCTCCAAGCCCCATCCAACCTGGGGCTGGACACTCCCAGGGATCCAGGGGCAGCCACAGCTGCTCTGTGCCAAGGCCTCACCACCCTCACAGACCAAATGTCTTCCCAATATCCTGTCTAACCCTGCTGTCAGTTTGAAGCTGTTCCCCTGCTCTCCTGTCACTCTAGACCCCTGTAAATATCCTTTCCCATCTTTCCTGTAAGTTCTATTTAGGTGCTGGAAGGCCACAAACAGGTCACCCCGAAGACTTCTCCTTTCTAGGCTGAACAATCCCAATTGTTCCAGTCTTTCCACAAAGGACAGGTTCTCTTCCCCCCGATCATCCCGGTGGCCTCCTCTGGATCAAGGCTGAGCTCGCACAGAGCAGCCCCCGGTGCCCGGAGCCTCAGGCCGGAACGGGCCGGCCCTGCTGAGCGCCCGCGGACCCGAACGCCTCAGGCCCTGGCGGACCCGGGCCGGCCTGTCCCGCCGGGTCCAGTGTCCGGTTCCCCGTGCCCCGTCACCCCGGCCCGGCCCCGGTCCCCGTGCCCGGAGCCCCCGCTCACCGCGGCTCCCCCGGCCCGTCCCGTGTCCGCGGGCGCCTGACACCGACTGACCCACCGGCCGTACCATCCCCATCGCCAGCTGGGGGGGAGGACACGGACAGACAGCTCCCCGCCCGCGCCCCCGCCGCCGCCGCGGAGAAGCGAGAAGATGGAGAACAAGGTAGAAGAAAGAGAGAGATGAGAAACCCGTTCGTACCGCGGGACTGAGCTGGCCGTCCCGCCGCTCTCCCGGGGAGCCGCCACCCCCCGGCTGCCGCAGTGGCTCGGCCCAGGGCCGCCCTGTCCACAGGGGCCGGGCGGAGCCATTACCTCAAGAGAGGGGGTGAATGAGGAGGCCTGGAAGACGCATCCTCCTCTTCGGCGCTGCACCTGCCCAGCTGTCACAGCGCAGATCGGAGCAGAGATCTCCGATCATCGGGGACACGAGAAGGGACAAGCGGCAGCCAGCGACCCGCGGGTGCCACACCGGGAGCGGGCGCGCTCCCCCCGCGGAATGGTAGGGACTGTGCGGTGGGTCACGTGACCCGCTGGCTCTGGGAGGGGACCCGGGGTGGCCGCGGGCGGAGCCCCCGAAGGAGCCGGGACCGGGACGGGAATCGGGATCGGGACAGAGACCGAGACGGGTTTGGAGTGAGTCGCGTTAACGAGCTTCGCCATCAGCTGCCGCAGAGCCCCTTCCCGGGACTTTCCCTGGCCTCAGGGCGGTGCCGTGTTCTCCTCAGGCTCGACGCGATTTCTCCATCGGAGACTCAGCACCCACCGTCCATGTTAATTCCTTAAAGTGCTTAGAATGTGAGATTATGGCAGATGAAGGTTTCAAATATTGTCGTTTCCCGATTTATAAAGCGGCTCTGTGGAAGTGTTTGCACAGGTACAGCCCGAGAAGGGCAGGGGAGCAAACGCCCAAGTTAAACCTGTTCAGGCTCTTCATTTCCATTAAACTACTCCTGTTTCTCTTCAGGGTATCAAGTTTAAGTATTAAAGGATTATTTATCTCTAAGAATCTATGACGGAAAGCTAAACCAAATTCCACATGAACTATTAGGCATCAAAATAATAAAGTACCAGATTCCTCTCTACCCCTTGGAGTTGCCCCTTAAAGAGCTTTAAATACCTGAATCTGAACAAAAGTAGAAAGTTTTCAAGTAGATAACAGCTTAGATTATTCAAAGGAGTAAAACTTGTACTTTAATCCCAAGAAAGAGCAGCTATTGCTGATGCTGCTACAAGACACCTCTGGATCCAAGCACAGTCACACATGGACAATAATTATCTCTCTGATTAAAACAATAGCCAGATGGTCAGCAAGATGGATTATTACAGAAACACAGAGCTCAGACACGAATACCAGAATGGTTTGGGTTGGAAGGACCTTCTGGACCATCCCATTCCCAGCCCCTGCTGTGGGCAGGGACAGCTTCACTAGTCCAGGTTGCTCAAGAGTAAAAGTGTTCTATCCAAAATCCCAAAGCCCAGCTCAGACAAGGACCTGCAGCAGCTCTTCTCAAGAAAGACACTAAAGAAAGATTATTTCTACTTGGAGTTGCTCAGCAGAGCTCTGAGAAGCCACCAGGAGGGCTGGAACACCTCGGGAGCAGAGGGCACACAGAGCAGGCAAGCAGCATCCTCCCCAGTCAGCCAAAATCACCTCCGGAAAAACAACCAGAACAAGAGATCCCCCCCAAAAACTAAAGAAACCCCAAATATAAAATACCTACAATCTCATTTAAGACAAACTAAGGAGCACTGGTTTGTTATCTTTATTTTCCAATAGTACATTTGAACAGGTTCTCAGGACTAAGCTCTCCACAGGGAGAACATTTCCTAGGTTATACAGACGGCCTGTGACAACACAAACACGGGGCTGGGGCTGTGCTCTGGGACACTCAGGGGAGCTGAGGAGGAGGAGGAGGCAGCTGGGGTTGTTACACCATGGAGTGATGGTCACACACTGGGGCTCCTCAGTGGCACAAAACCAGGAGTGGGGCTGGACACAAACAGCTTCAACCATTCCTTCTTAGAAACATTTCAAAATCTCACCATGACTGGCCTAGAGACCCCTCCTGTGGCTAGGAATTGCAGCTGCACATCTAACGCTGCCTTCAGAAGTGCATTTTGTGTCTTTGCTAATTCAAATGCATCAAAATCAGAGTCAGATATCAAAGCATGCACTCAGTATTCCCTGGACACGTCCTGTGGGAAGGATGGGAAGGAACAGCCACAGGACCTCTGAGAGCCCAAGCTGGGAGCAGCACAGCACGCAGTGTTCCTAGATTTCAGCAAAAGTCCTTCCCTGCAGTAAATCCAAATTAAAACCAGAAAGCCCAAGTGTTCTCAAAGCCTCTCAGCTGACCACAGCCCAGGCAATTAGTTCCAAGTCTTGGAAGGAGCTGCTTCATTAAAAATCTGACTTAATTTCAGTGCTATCTCAAGACGTGCAGATGCCAGGCCATGTGTGTTTATCAAAGCAGGACTTAAAAGCCCTTCCCTGGAGCACTTCTGGTGAATGCTTTACCTACTGATTCTACAGGTGGGACCTGACTTTGAATTTCTAACAGAACTCAGACAATTAACAGCACAACTATCCACGCCAGAAAAGGAACCTCAGCAGCTCTCTAAAAGCATCTGCCCTCTTAAAAATCAGATATGTAATGGAATATATCACTTTAAACTATTACACAGCTATTTTTGCCATCCTTTTGATGTGAGCATGGATTTGTTTTATCTACTTTGGGCAAGATAAAAGAAGAGAAAAATCTAGAGCTATTCACCAGCTGCCTAGATTAGTTTGCTTCTAATTCCACAGCTGGAAAACCATCCTGCAGATCTCCATGCTCACTAATAGGAACTAGTAAAAATGGACATTCCTGGTTTTTTTGTGACTCCATGACAGCATCCTTAATACATTCTCCCCTGGCAAGGAGAGTTGAAGCAGGCACATTTCTGGATGGGTGGGGTTTGGGGTCAGTGTTTGCAGTCCCTTCTGTGAGTGCCACATGTGGCTGTGACAAACACCCTGTTCTGGGCTCGAGCCACAGCATCACTAATTACTCATTAACACTTCCATGGGACCAGAGGGGAAAATGGTGAATGTTCAGCATTAAAATCACTGCAGGATTAATTAGGATAAAAACCTTCAAAATCATAGATCTCTTCTAGTTAACTCACAAGACTTGTGAGTTATGATAAACCCCAAGATTTTGCCTAAAGATCAGATATAAAAGTTGTCCCAATGGAATTCTCTCAGGCAGGAAGTGATGAGCTGCTCACACTGTGGACCTCCACTGTGTTCAATACTAAACTGCTATTTTATACTTTTAAAAAATCCTTCACCACCAACCACAACCTGGGACACCTCTTCACCAGAAGGCAGCACCCTGCTGCCACAGAGGCTCTGCTAGACTTATGACACCGGTTTTAAGTGAAAACCCCAACACTTGTGTATCAGCACCGGAAGCACAAATGGAATATTTTCAACCACAGGTGACCTGAATACATAAAAACTTCACACATCAAGAGCCAGGAGTGCTCAGCTCCCACCTGGAAAAAAGCTGGCAGGGTAGCAGGAGCAAGCAGCTCCTGGTCAGGTGGTTCAGTAGGAAGCAGTGGCTGCTGAGCTTCTCGTTTTCTGACTTGGTGACAGGTTTATTTCTGCCTCACAGGAAGGTGTTTGAACAGTGAGAATCTTCAGATACACAAGAATGACAGAAAATTAAACAACCCGTTGATTTAAGGGGTGAAGCACTTTAAAGAATCCAATAACAAAGTTTAAAATAGTAAATTAAAAACCAGGTACCATTCCAACACATTATATCTGAATAAAATCCTGCATTTTGAGAGCTGTATAGAATTCTATGTATGTTCCATGCAGAAATACTGGTTTCCACCAAAGAAACTATCAGCCTGTTGAATACCTTCATGCCAGTTGCACAGGAACAAACATTTAAATTTCTTTCAGTGTAAACAACTTCCTATCTAGAATCCTCCAGAACACCAACGTTTTCCAAATATCCTTTTGTTTAGGTCTAGTAAGTTTCATCTAAGAGCAAATAATATTAGCAGATATTTTGCAACAGAAACTTAAAATCATAAACAGCTGTCATGTATGTTTTCCATATATGATTCCTACTGTGCAGCAAACTTCCTTACAAGGACATGTTGATATCCTCATCCTTTTGGGAAGAACAGTTCTTATTTCCTCATTTAACAGACAGCACCAGCTACATTGGGCATATGCAAATTCCCTACATTATGATTTGCTTGAACTCCACCCCTCTGCCCACACCACACATATGATAAATCTGCACTTTGAGCCAACTTTAAATACAGAATAATGAACCAATAATTATCTTGTAAGTGAACCAACACTAGTTTGTATTCTTCCCTGAATAACACTTTCTTTTGCAGAAGAGAAGGACTGCTACAGAAACACGGCAACATTCAAACCCTTTAAAACAAAAGGTAGATTATTTAATGCATTAACAATGTTAATCTGAAGATAAATAAATCCACAACAGACTTTCAAGTTTCTTTTGAGATTTCCTTTTTCTTTGCAGAGAATATTTCTGATATTATACAGTACTGAGAGGGTGTTCTTTTATTTTCTTAATGTCCAGGTGAAAAGCAAAGCTCAGTTCTCTCTGCTCTCTTTGTGGAACTCCTCAATGCCCTGCTCCAGGCGTGATTCTTTCATAAGCTTTTACTTGAAAGCGGAGTGGTGAGCAACATTAATTTCAAGAATAACTGGATGGTTTGGTCCCTGAGTCATCTTCTTGAGAGCCCATACTCTGAAAGGGAGAGAGTTAGTTCTGTTCAGAAACAGGTCTGCAGGCTTGACAATGACAATTCTTTGAAGTGAGCAGGCAGGCAAATAAAGTGCCTATGCAATAACATGCACTTAATTTTCTGGTTGAAATCACTGCAGGATTAATTAGGGAAAAGCACCTTCAAAATTAATAAATTATCTTTATGATGTGTCATGATGTTTATGCACATATTATTAATAATGTGTAAAGACAACACTGTAAATACTGACATTCAGTACAACACACTCACTGCACTGAATGAATCCCTTACATACTCTTACAAGACATTAAATCCATTACCTTCTGCACAAACTGAGGGTTCACAGTGATCTCTTGATCCATGGCTTTCAGTCGTTCATCAAGCTCTATACATTTCAGCATCTTAAAAATATTTATGAAATTCATTACTTTGTCCAGCTTGTACCTGATCTTCAACACATTTCACAGCTGTGCCATGTAGAACTAATAACTTCTGCCATCCACTGAAGTTCCACATCAAAATGTTCTCATCCCTCACCTCCCAAACAAAAATGTCAGACTATTTTTTATTCCCTTCATTTGATCCAAGTCCCCCTAACAGCCCTTTTTAAGGCCATTGATGGACAGTCCCCTGAGGCTCAACCCCTTAAACTACAGGTAGGTTATTGAGAGCCAATGAAGTGATTCTTCAAGTTTAAAACTCTAAAAACAATCTTTCTAATCCATTCAAGGATCTTCCCATCACCAAAAGCAAGCAGTCAGTCTCCTAAAACAGGTCAAGCTGTGCAGGAAAAAACAGGGAACACATTGACAGAGAGTATTAATCTAAAACCCACAAAAATACTGTAAAATAGTCAAATAGTGATTTACAGTCCTCACTCTCTATATGTAAGTTACTACACTGGCTTCTGCCAGCAGCTCTCTGATTACAGACTGAGGTTCTCTGGTAAGAATCCCAAAAGCAGTAAAAGATTTACCTCCTGATCAATGTTATGAAGCATAGCTGGATTGTTATATTTTTCAGGATTATCATGGAAACAGACCATACCATCTTTCTGATTAATACTTGCAAAGATTTCACCATCTTCTATCTGAAATGATAGAGGGTTTAATAGAAGTTATCACCAAGAACAGAATTTCAGGTAACTACAACACAGAGACTCTTTGTGGAATTGTCTTTAAATTGGTTGTTTTTATTTCCCACACTTCCCAAAACCACAATTCATGCCTTATCTTACAGAGAGAACAGCTTTTTAGATTTTTTGAGAACAGTCTCCACACCACAGCAGACTGCAAGCATTTCCTCCACCCTGCTCAGGATGTGTACTGCCAACCCAAACACAGATTTTGGGATAGCTTACCCAAAATTAGGTCTTACCATGTGGAGGACGTATTTTTCTGCTTCTTGGGGCCCCGACAGCTGCACTCGACTTGCCATGTCTTGTAATGACAATGTTAAAAACGTCTGAAATGTAGAAAGTTTGAAAGTGTTAAAACTGGATGTTAAGGATTTTATTGTTGATGCTTCATGGCCTATGTGAGCTGGCTATGGGAAGGAACAAGTGGAACCCACAATTATTGAAGGGCTCATGAGAGTGAGTCAGTTCTTTCTCCAGACATTCATTTGTTATACTGAGCACGTATGGAGTCATTACTGATTCCTAAAATTTCATTCTACACCAGACACTCCTGACCATGTCCAACCTCTTTCTCTCACCTTTTTACACAAAAAAGGTGACTCTCCACCCCTTGAATTCCCTTCAAGAGATGCCTATATAAAGGTCCTTATGAGATTTTTTACTGCAGCAAATAGCATTTGAGCTTGCAAAAAAACTGCTTTCCCCAATCACTTTTCAGGATTAATCTGATCTCTCAGCTGAAGGAGCAAATCAGTTCAGTACTTCTGATTTTCATTTTATTTCAGGCATTTCCAAAATCTGTCCTATTCACTCACTCCTTTCTAATGAAGTGGCCTGTAAAGTTCAGTTTCCCTATTTTTTGAATAGGGATGAAGGTCACTGGGTTGCAGTGCTCACTTTTTTGATTATCTACAAAAACCTCACAGGCAAAGCTCCCTGACAGACAGATTGAATCACCTTTTAAATAATGCATAAGCAGCCAACTGATTTGTTTTCCTATACAGGGCATTCTAGTCTCCTTTGTTTCAGACACAAATCTAAGTAATTTCTCTGCCACATTACTCTGTTCTCATTTAGCTCTAAATTGAATATATTTCAGAAATACACTCTCAGAAGAAAACTGCTCACAAGTTTCTCTTACCTTGGTTAGCCTCTGAATATTCTTTTTGTAGAGAGATGACAAGCACTGCTTAACCAGCCCCATATTGTTATCTCTTGTGAAAGTTTCACTGTGTTTGTTCACCAGATTTCGAAGCTCCGAGGGTTTATTGGTTGAATAAACTTGTGCTAATTCATGGTAAGCATTGCTAAGAGGCTGCAATTAGAAAAATGAGAACCCTTCTTGAAGAACACAGTGTTCACTCAGCCTCACAAAACCTATTCAGTGCTCCAACATTAGAAGCCATGCAGGCATTGAAGTAAATTGAAGTAGCTGGGGCATTTCTCATAAAAAAGCCAGGATGCCCATACATGGCTTTATGGCAATGACAGACCCTATACACTAAAATCTGTTTTACTGCAGTGTAACATTTAATAAGCATCATTCCAGGACCTCTGTGTGACAGTTTTACTTACAGCAGTGTGAAAAAACTCTCTCAATTGACCAGCTGGGTTTGAGGTAAGTATTGCCAGTTCTGCCCTCTAAGACATCCATCCCTGACCACACTGGGTCACAGCATCGACAGCAGAGACTCAGAGGGTGACACCAGTTCACCTAAACTACCTTAAAATGCTTTCAGTTTTTTATTAGTCTCTGAAGCTAGAAGAATTTTGGAACTCTCTAGAATCTTGGTCACAAATCAATAAAATGTTTAGAAGTGTGTTACTTAGGATCAGAACTCTCTCAGCAGCAGTTTTGTCTCCCACTCTACACCCCCTAATCTGAATGCTAACAGACTCCAAACTCACAGTTTTTTCAGAAGCTTTTATTCTTTAAAAAGTTGGTTTGGGAGTAAACTGTTTAGCATTTTGTGCTTCAATCAGATGAAGTTACAGGTCAAATCTTTTTATAGTGACACTGCATCTTGAAAGCCAATTGAAATCTGAGTATTTTTAAATTCTAACATAGAAAGCTATAAAGGAATGTTCAGTATCAGTGAAAGGAATATTGATTAGTACTATTCAACACTGAAGTTTTCCCAGATTTTAAAAACATGTATCACTGACATACAATCATAGAATGGTTTGGGTTGGAAGGAACCTTCAAGTTCATCTCACTCCAAACCTCTGCTATGGACAGGGACACCTTCCACTGTTACACATTTACAAATTCAGATTTGTTGATCTATTATTTAGATGAATTTGCAATACTTACCTTAATGAATCTACCAACTATCTGAGAAGTGTATTTTGGTAACTGCTGAACTTTACCAAGTAGTATCAAAGAAACTAGGATATACTTTTTATATGATTCCAACATAATATGACTGACTGCCATGGCTGGAGTAGTTATTGCCTAAGCAAGAGAGAAAGAAATGGAACAGAAATTTAGTCTGCTTACTGGTAGATCCTGGTAGTTACTGCATGAACAAAAAACTCAATTTGAAGCTGCATGTAAAAGATACAGTGACATATGAAATTCTCCTTTGAGCACTGAAGCTTAACTAACTTCTGTCAAAATTAATTATCCAGACATATGCAAAAGAAAGGAAATTTTATACAAGCTATTCAAAACATATCACATTCCAGTGGTGCCTGTCTTAAAATAGACCTGCTCAGACAGAATCAAAACTTCCTTCCTTGGAATATATCTAAAGATATATTTGTACCAGAAATCACCTGTAGCTACTTCTGAACCTGGATTTACACAGGCCCTCCAAGAGGTTTTATAATGCTGTTACATTATCAGAAGTCTGCAGAATAGGGAAAAGGGATTTTAGTTCACTATGATACTGGAACTACTCAAGAACTGACCCTCATTAAATACTGCACCAATTAGTTTTGCACATTTCACAGCATTTCTCTCATAGCCAAGATTTTCCCAATTTTACTATCTTTGTTTCCTTCCCAGATAAAGCAAAGCCAGCAAATATTATAACAGCATTGAAGAAGTATAACTCCTCTCATAAGAGTGGCAAAGGCCTTACCAAAACCACTGGACTATTTTTTAAGGACACACAACTGTGTGTCAGCCCATGACCTGTTTCTGTGCTGCACTTTCAAGCAGGCAGTTGAAAAATATATCTAGTGAGGTAAATTTAACATCACTCTTTGAGCTGCACAGCTTTATGGTGCAATAAGGCTGTGAGAGACTTTCTTAAAGGAAAACACCTCCAAGGACAGTCTGCTTGTGCCAGTTCCAAGGTGCTGTGTTTTCTCAGCACTGTTACCCATCTACTTTTGCCTTTCCAGACATCACATTTCAGATTTATGGTTTCAAGTTACCTGTTCATAAAAGTAGAGTGCTCTTTCAAAGTTCTTTAGCCCAGTGTATATCATCCCACCATAGTAGTAGTAACATAAAAAGTGCTTCGCATCATATGCCCCATTCTCTTTACAAATATCCATCATGTCCACATCTAGATACGGGAGGGCAGGTTTAAAGCATTTTGCTAACAAACAGAGCTACAAGAAAATAAATCAAGTTTTCATCAATTAGCCATTTCCATTCAAGTTTCCATGAGAAGGAATTTAAAATAAATTAATTAGTACTACTGCATAAATATCACTCTTCCATGAGTTAAAAAACTGAGCATGTCAGTAGTGGAGTAACACAAGTTGAAAATCTTTAACACAGATTATGAACTGTTATGAAATTATCTGACCCCCTAAAGAAATTATAACTCAGACAAAGCTGTTTGAAGCTCCAGAACTGCCAGACTACTGTGCTGGCAGCACTAAATACTACTCTGAATATTCCTGTCCAGCCCCAAATCCCAGGAGCCAAGAATGAGACAGAAATACAAATCCAGGCCAAAGACACCAGACAAACATAAACATGTATTTTGTCAGACTTGAGCAGACAGTAGCTGGATATTACACTGATACCACCCAAGATAAGTTCAGTGTGACTTTCAGCCCACAGAGAAGGGATGCCAAAGGACTTTCTGAAGTCATCAGCAAAATCAAAGATCTGAGGACATGCACTGAACATTTAAAATTATTAATTAATCTGTATATCAGACTTGGATTTTGTTTCAGTATATCATATTATTCAATACTGGAAAAAACCAAACCAAACAAAAATCCATTCTTACACTGCAATATGTGAACATGCATTTCCTTGAAGTTTTATAGGCATTTTATAAGCTTTTATTCTCACAAAAAGCCATTCTGATGCCCTTACCTGGCAGAGATCTGCGTGTATTGAGGTCAGCTGGTTTGTGTTCATCTGCATCTTGTCTATGGCTTGTCTGAGAATGCTAATTCCTCGCAGGGGCTGTCAGAAATTACATCTCTTTCAGATAATTTCTCATAGATGGCAGCACATTGGATCTTATGTTGACACTTACAAATGAAAAATAACACTAATTGACAGGTTCCATTAAGTAATAGTTAACTTGAGGTTCCCTTTTTGTAGGATATTGCTGTCTCTTGGAAGATAAAATTAATCTTGGCAATACAATTTCTCCTGATCAAGTCCTCAATTCTGCTCCACAAAGCCAATTTCACCAGTAATCTGTATCAATATAAAACCTTCCTTGACTCCATCCAAACTCCCCACAAATACTAAATACTTCACTCAGAAGTAGAGATCAGATCTGGTCTGTCTCAGCACAGACTTCACCAAAGTGGCCTGGAAAAGTCAGGATTTTAGCAACAAAACCACTGGTCAAGTATTTCTTAATCAAGTTTCCTGCATATTTTAAGGTATTTCATTAAGAACATTATGTAACCCCAGTGAGAATAACACTGAAGCTAAAATCCCTGACTCACCAGTGCCAATAACCCTTGCAGCTCTCTACCCATGCATTGTCTGAAGAACATTCTTGGTACTACAGATCTCCTATTTTGTGTGGGAGAACATGGTTTTAGGTGACTTTTCTCCTCCAAAAATTATCTTCCTTAGGTTTCCCTCAGAGAAATCTTAGAATTTTGAGTTTGGTTCATTACTTTTCAGTAAACTTAATAACTAAAGAGCTGCACAGAAACACTTGATGTGAAGTTAATGGCAAATCTTTACAGAGTAAGAGGCTGGTAACACCCCCTTGAAGCCTTGGGTAAGGAGTAACTTATTTGTACTAGATGATACTTGCTCACCTGTTTTCTCTCCACAAGGGCATTTGTTAACTGGTGGCACAGGCCAGCAACTAAACACAGTAAAAAACAAACAAGAAAAAAACACCTCAGTGAAAAATCAGTATTACCAAACTATCCAAAAACATATCAAGTCTGAAATTAGGTTTAACTTACAAGTGTCTGTTGCATATCTAATGTGTTCTCCATTGCAAGTGCTGATAAAAAGCTGCACCTGTGAGAATAACGTTTCGAAGTCAGGGATGCTGGGCATAGAAAACTTCACAAACCTGAAACAAAGAAACAAAAGGTTTATTGCTTGGAGGTTCATAAAAAGATTCACTTTCATTGCTAAGTCTCTGCATGTAGGTGCTTGTAAACAAATCCAAAGTGCTTATGAGACATGGTATAGGACTTCCCCAGTAGCTGCACAACGTCTGAAAACACCTTTTCATGCACAACATAATTCTCAATGTAGTGCAAATGGCAAAGATCATTTTCAGTATTATCAGTATTTTGTTTTGAAAGAGTAGCAGAACAAGTGCTAGAATTCTGATCTTTCCCTTAAAAGAGAATTGTACAATAGCAGTGAAAGCTGCAGATAGTTCACTAAAGTCAGATACAGCCAGTTTGAACTTCAAGACTGAATATCTTTACCTTAGTTCAGCACCCCCAAGGCAACTCAATTTTATCTTAAACTCCAGACAGCAGCAAGAACTTCAGTGCTGTCTAAAGACAAACAACCAAGACCCATGATAAAAGCTTGGTTTTTACTGGAATAAAATGTCTCACTCCATGCTTACAGTTCAGTGAAAATATACCCTGAAATAAAATTTGAAAAGCTCATTCTATATTTTTTTTCTGAACACATATGGAAAAACACCAATCATGGAATCCCAGAATGGTTTGGGTCGGAAGGGACCTCAAAGCCCATCCAGTTCCAATCCAGGCCATGGGCAGGGACCCAATCCCAGGGTGCTCCAAGCCCTGTCCAAGCTGGCCTTGGGCACTCCCAGGGATGGGGCAGCCACAGCTTCTCCAGGAACTTGTGCAGTGCCAGGACAAAAAGCTTTGCTTGTCTGACAGTTCAGCTCATTGTCTGAGGTTTTGGTATTTAATCCAAAGCAAGCAACACTTACAAGACAGCAAGAACACCTAGGGAGTGTTCCTGTACATCCAGGGCACCGAGCACTGTATCCAGATGGGAAAGATTTTTTGCTAGCAGCTCTCCACTTTTATTGATCAGTTCACAAAGCTGGGTCATTTGCCCTGAAAAATAAAAAGCATTGTTGTCAAAGCCTAATTAGAGAACATTTACCCATTCCCACATCTCTTTATAATCTGCTTCCTCATGTAACAGCAGGAAATAATAATATCACCCCAAGTTTTAATTTTCTTTAATAAGCCAGACATTAATTTTCTACTCACCACATTTTTTTAATATAAAACAAATACCAGAGCTTGTTCCTTGCTGGTCCTCAAGCACTACCCAACTTTCAGGTCTGCTCATAAGCATTTTTTTGAAGTAGACATTAAAGTTACAATTAAGTACTTACAACAAAAGTATTTAAAAACCTCTCCTTAGATTTACTTTGTACAATTAAAACTACAATGTTATTCTATATGAAAAGTGACTACTTTAAATGAGGAAGGTATGGCAAGCCCCAAAACCTTTATAAAGCAAGCAGATCCATTCCCATGAACTGCTTTCAAACTCTTCCTCCCTGCCAATTAAGTGAATGAATCAAAGCTATGTCCTTCTGAAGCAGAGTATTGTTTCAAGCACAGCATTGTTTCAATGTTCAATCCTTGCAGATTAGAGAGAAAAAACAGAGGTTCTCTCACCCTTAACAAAAGTCTCCATAAAATGAGGAATAGTGCCTCCATTCAGAGACATTTACACTACCCTCAGCTCTCTAGCCTTTTCCTTTGAGAGAGTAAAAACAGGGAAATTCTAGCAATGAAATGTTGGTTTTGGAGTGCCAGAGGGATCAAAAATTCCAAATGGGGGACCAGATCCCAGAAATGCCTCCTAAACCATTCTCCTCCCTATGGAATTTTAAAAAGGCAAAAGCATGGGAAGGAATGGGGTTTGTAAATCTCTCTGTGCTTTGGTCACAGTGCTCAGGCACTGCAAACCCCCAATTCTGGTGTCCTCCCTGTTCCAGAAATCCACCCCTTCTAAAAAACAAAACAAAACAAAACAAACCCCAAACAGACTCTGAGCAAACTGGTCCAGTGGAGGGTGCCCCTGTCCATGGCAAGGGCTGGAAAGAAATGGCCTTTAAGATGATCTTTGAAGTTCCTTCCAAGTTCAATCCAACCATTCTGGGATTCTGTGATCTCTCCCTCTACCAACACATACACTGAACAATTTACAGTCCAAGCAGAAATTCCAGCACCAGGCCCAACTAAATGTCCCTTCCTGTCACCTCCCAGGTGGCCAAATGACAGCCAGAAAGCACACACACTGCTCCTGAGTGCTCTCATCCAGCTGCTGCCTCTGGATTTACTCTCACAGAATCCCAGAATGGTTTGGGCTGGAAGGAACTTCAAAGATCTTCTCATTCCATCCTCCTTCATGGACAGGGACACCTTTCACTCCCCCAGGTGGCTCCAAGCCCTGTCCAACCTGGCCCTGGACACTTCCAGGAGTAGTCAGAGCTTCTCTGGGAATCTGTGCCAGGGCCTCCCCACCCTCCCAGGGAAGGATTCTTTCCTAATATCCAATCCAACCCTATTCCCTTGTTACTATGAAGCCATTCCCCCTTTCCTGTCCCTCCAGGCCATTACAAACACTCTCTCCTCATCTTTCCTGCAGCTCCCTCCAGATCCTGGAAGGTCACAATTAGGCCATCCCAGAGCCTTCTCTTTTTTCCAGGCTGAACACTCCAGATTCTCACAGCCTCTCCTCAAAGCTCCAACGATCTTGGTGGCCTCATCTGGACTTGCTCCAACAAGTCCATGTCCTGACTGTGCTGGGGACTTTCCCACAGAGAGCATCTCCCTGGCTCATCCCTAATGGGAGAACTTCCACAAAGCCCAGCAGTCTCCCCCTGAGCCTTCTGCATCCCCAAAACTCTGTGACAGAAACTTCTCCAGCTCAACTACAGAACAAAGGTCCATCATCCATCTGGTTTGTACCCACGCCCTGCAGGTATAAATTGTCTCTAAAGTAGAAATACTTTGTATTTATTAAGTGAAACCAGAGTAAGAGAAAGGCGGAGCTCAACACAAGAACTGCAAGAGATAAAACCTGGGGCCAAGGTGGGAAATATCAGTTTTTGATCAGTTTCTGGGAGGAAACATCCCAGGCAGAGACCAGTCAGAACACATTTCACAGAGCATCAACACAGAGGGAAAGTTCAAGAACCAGGAAACACTGCGCCCACACACAGTAAAATCAGGAGTTTGGCAGGGAAACGGAGGAATTCCAACCGTGATTATTAAAACCCTTTGTGGACACGTGGGTACAGTCTCACATCTGTCACAGTTCCGTGCTGGGGCGGGACTCTCTGGCCACGCTCTGCTTTGCAAATGTCGAGCGCAGACACTTGGACAATTCGGAAATTTATTTTAAACCACACTCATCACAACGTGCCCGTTCCTTGGGGAGGTGACAGGCTGGGCCGCACAGTCCCATTTAAAGCCCTAGCGATGCTCGCTCCTCCCCCTGTTTTAAAGGCTCGGATTTTGGCAGGATCACCCGTGCATGCTCCGCTACCGAAACCACCCCTGGGAGACCCACGGAGAGCTCCGTGAGAGCCCCGCCGGCTCCTCGTGCCCTGTCACACCGCCGGGATCCCTTCGGGGCTGTCCCGATCTGACCCCGGCCCGGGCCCCGCCGCGCCGGGGGTGCAGCGCCCCGGCCCCGCGCCTGAGGGAGCGCCGTGCGAGCGGCCAGGCCCCGGCGCGCCGCCCCGCCACCCGCGCGGTTTGACGAGCTCCTTCGGTCTCCGCCGTCCTCCCTCGGCCCCGCGGGCCCGCCCCGTCCTCCCGGTGGCCCCGGCGGGCCCCGTCCCCCTCACCCTGGGCCGAGAGCTGCCGGACGCTGTTGACGAACTGCTCCAGGGCCGACGCCATCTTGGCGGCTCGCGCCGCGGCCGCGCGCGCCGGAGGGGCGGGGCGGGGGGAGCGGCGCGCGCCGGGAGCCGCCGCCCGCCGCCCGCCAATCAGCGGCCGCCGCGGGGGCCGCGCGACGCCCGCAGCCCGCGCGCCGCTTCCGCCGCCTCTCGCGAGAAGCGCGGTCGCTATGGCAACCGCCGGGCCCGCGTCAGTCGCGCGGGAGGGGCCGTGACTCAGCAGCGCCGGAGGGGGGGGCGGTGGTGACGTCACGGCGCGTCAGCACTCCGCGACACGAGGCCTCGCGCGACAGCGGCAACAGCCGCGACATCGGGGCCTCGCGACATGAGGGCCCTGGATAGGGGAGCCCCGTGACACCGGGCCGTCCGTGACACCGGGCCCGCCCCGGTACGGGTGGCCGCTCCCTCCCGCTGCCCGAATGGCTGCGCTGCCCCAGCAGAGGTTTAATCCCTTTTGTCCCCTCTGGCGCGGCCTCATTGCGTGGAATGGGATTGGAATCCCTCCGGTTAATACGTGTTCTGTATTCTCCATCCCCGTGGAGCTGCAGCAGGCAAGCAATGTGTCGGTGGTTCAGTATCCATGAAAATGATGGAAGCCTGAGTGGAGATCACAGAACTGTAAAGTATCCAGAACTGGAAGGGACCCACAGGGAACATCCAGTTGCACTCCTGACCCTGCACAGGACAAGCCCGAAATCCCACCCTGTGCCTGAGAGCGTTCTCCGAATGCTCCTTGAGCTCTGTCAGGCTCCGTGCCCTGACCACTGCCCTGGGGAGCCATAAATTTGCATGCATTCCCTCCCTGCTTAGTCAGGAACACCCAGCTGTGTTGAAATCCCATTCCTCGCAGGAAGAAAAACGCCTGCGGTGCAAGTGAAAGCAAAACACAGACCTGAACTTGACACATTCCCCTCCCAGGCTCAGCTGAGATCAACATTGTGTCCAGCCAGTTCTTCCTTCCTTCCTTCCTTCCTTCCTTCCTTCCCTCCGTGACCTTCCCCAGGTCACCCCATCCCAACAGCAAATTTACCCTCTCTATGGATCAAGGACAATACATTCCACCTGAAAACATTGTGGACTTGAAAAATTAAATATTTTGGAACCTTATTATTGCTGTCGAGCAGAAACTTTTATTTCCCAGCTCAGTGTTTGCCTCATCCTGTCAGTACTTGGAGAACTCCCTCTTCTCCATAAGTTTTAAACATATGTTTTTTGAACAGATCTTTGGTGTCTGCTCAGAACACCGAGCCCTTGTTGGTGCAGTGCGTGCTCCTTTGGGCTCCGGGGATTGGCTTTTAAGGTTTCCTGTCACACGCCTGTCACAGAACTGTCAGAAACGAGTCCGTTTTATGCAAAAAATCACCATTTCACGTGTGTCCCCAGATGTACCCACCACCTCTGCAGGCAGACACGGGCATGGGGAGGGAGTGGGTATCTCAGAGGCTGACAGCGAGGGAAACTGAGGCAGGCAGGGCACGGGCAGCGGTGCCGGGGCAGCCTTAAGGCGGGCGGGCGCGGAGCCGCCGCGCTGTCGCAGGGCGCTTGTGCCGCTTTAAGGCGGTGCCGGCGCTCCGGGCTCGGCAGGCACCGGGAAGAGGAACTGGGCTTTGCACTGCCGGGTCGGGGCGAGCTCCGCCGTCCCCGCTGCCCTCCCGCCGCCGCTCCGCGCTCGCTGCCGGGCGGCGATGGGGAGGACGCGCCGGGGGCCAGGACGGGTCCCTGCATCCCCCCCTCCGCTCCCCATTGCACCCCCCGGCCGCTCCTTCCTCCTGCTGCAAAGGGATGCGATCGGCAGGGCTGCCCGCTGCCTCGGGGCGTGCTTGAAATAGAGGCACCCGCTTTGCTTGGAGAGCACCCCCAGCCCTGCTCGGAGCCCCCTATCTCCTGCCCCGAGCCCCCCATCTGCTTCCTGGGGGCTCCGTCGCCTGCTCCAAGCTCCATCCCCTTCCTCAATCTCCCCAGTCTCTTTCTCAAGCTCCTTTGCCCTTTCTGGAGCCCCCTTCCTCTGCTCCAAGCTCCATCCCCTTCCTCAATCTCCCCAGTCTCTTTCTCAAGCTCCTTTGCCCTTTCTGGAGCCCCCTTCCTCTGCTCCAAGCTCCATCCCCTTCCTCAAACTCCCCAGTCCCTTCCTCAAGCCCCTTTGCCCTTTCTCGAGCCCCCTTCCCTTGCTCCAAGCTCCATCCCCTGTTCCAACCCCCCTTCCCCTTCCTCAAGTCCCCTTCCCCTGCTCCAAGCTCCAACCCCTTCCTCAAGCTCCCCAGTCCCTTTCTCAAGACCCTTTCCCCTTCCTCGAGCCCCCTTCCCCTGCTCCAATCCCCCTTACCTGAACCCCCTATTCTGAGCCCCCATCCCCTTGTTCAAGTCTCCCATCCCTTTCCTTGAGCCCCCATTCCCGGCCCCAAACCCCCATCCCCTGCCCTGACCCTGCTTCCCTGAGCCTCCCATTCCTTCCTCTGAGCCCCCTGCCCCAAACCCCCCAGATCCCCCATCCCAAACCCCTCTCCAGGATGATTTTGCTGAGCTGTTTCCTGCACCTGCGGCCCCGGCGGGGCTGTGGCGCCCTGGCCGGGCTGGGCCGGGGGCTGGGCCCCTCAGCCGGGTCCCGCCGGGCCCTGCGGGTGCTGGTGGACATGGACGGGGTGCTGGCCGACTTCGAGGGAGGCTTCCTGAAGAAATTCAGGGCCAGGTACCCCGACAAGCCCTACATTGCCCTGGAGGACCGGAGGGGCTTCTGGGTGTCGGAGCAGTACGGGCGCCTGGGACCCGAGCTGAGCGTGAGTTGTGCTTTCCCTTCATGGGTTTGTCCCCCTCAGGGACCCTCTGAGCCCCAGATCATGGGGACAGTGCTGTTCCTTGTGGGGGCCACCAAAGAGCTCCCACAGGAACACAGGAGGGCTTCCAGCAGTGGGTTTTCCCCAGAAATCTAGGGGGTTTTGTGCATGTCTATGTCTTTCTTAGAATCCTAGAATGGGTTGGGTTGATAAGGACCTTAAAGAGCATCTAATTCCAACTTCCAACTAGACCAGACTATGATGGTCTAGTGGGCTTTTTCTCTGCATGCCTGGATGGAGACAGATGCAAGAAAAGGGGGTATTTCAGAACATCTGTCTTGAAATACCCCAGATTATATAGCTGGGATTTTCTAGCTCTGATTTGGATTGGTACATTCCTAAATGGATTATTTAGCTCCCCAAGAGCAATGTGAGGGTTGGGATGCAGCAGAGCAGTTCAGAACAAACCAAGCAATTGATGCTTCATTTGAGGGCTTACTTGAAGTTAAAACAACCTAAGCCCTCCCATGCCAGGAATTATTATATTCAGTTTAATAATTAAAGCTTAAAAGCAGAAGCTCTCTCAATGTTGTAATTTAGCATTCAGCAACAGGCTGACTGATGGTAGAGAGTTGGTTTCTGCCTCTACAAATTTCCCATCCCAGTGGATGTCTGTGGTCTCATCCGTGGGTTACAGTTGCAGTGGCTGAAATGTGTTATTGTAAATAAAAGTGTTCCTGTTGTTAGGAGTATGATGGTTACAGGAAAGGCGTGGGAATAAGGTCCATGGGCAAAGTCCTAAACAACTTGATGAGCTGAAGGAATAAAGTGTCCTTCCTGGCTGGGAGTGGTGAGAGTGAAGTGCAGGACATCATTTGTGCAGTAAAGCAGCTGCTCAAACCCCTGTTTGGCAGGGGTAACACATGATAACAATTTTTTCCTTCCTTGATCCTAACTACTTTGGATGTGTTAAATGAAGTGAGCTCATCTTGTGTCTGCTGTGATCATGTAAAACCACCAAAACCTTGGGCTGAACGAGTAGCACAACTTGCAGTGTCTGACCTCAGGGCAGTCCTGGTTTTCCCCGTGGTTTCAGGGCAGGGCTGAAGTGAGTGGGAGCTGCTACAGACACGTGGGCCATTCCAGTCTCTCTCATTCCAGGGACCAGAAAATAGGAGCCAAAGAGTTCAAGGAGCTGAGAGGGAGGGAGTTCAGCAATGCCGCAAGCACACAGACCTGGAGAGCCCTGGACAGGCAGGGAGATTCCTTATGGGTCTGAGGATCTGTCCTGGCCCGTGGTGGGATTCCCAGCCTGGGGGATTTTCCCATCTGCTGGTCACAGTGCCACAGGGAGTTTTTCTGGCTCTGGGAGTGGAGTGGGTCTTTTCCTCAAGCTGAGCTGCGTTCTCCCCTCCTCAAGCTTGGTTGCAAAATTCTTTTTGACATAATTGGAAGCGGGATAGCAGTGGAAGTGCTGCTGTAGGAAAACCCTTCAGTGCAGTTTGAAGTGCTCTGCTGCACGAGGCTGTGTTTCTCAGGGGTCTCTTGTGCAACTACAGACAATACCCTAAAAATAAAATCCCATTACTGCTCAGTCTGAGGCAGAGCAACTGGAGTTTGAATGTTTGCATGGGCCCATGGCAAACTTTCAGGCTGGCTGTTCTTGCCATGGAGCCTGGAGGCATTTCTGCATCTGCAGCTCCTCAGCTGCACCTCAGCACTGGGGCTGGGTTGCTTCTGCTTCTTCCCAGCTCTCCTCTGCAAGAATACAGTGTTTGTGCAAAATAATTGCTTTCCTTGGCACCTGGCAAGCTGTTAACCTGTTTGAGCAGTGCAGGGGCTGCTGTTCCTGAGAGCTGTGCTGGACCCATGGCAGGCAGCCCCTGGACTCTGCCCTCACCCCAAGGTTTTGCTCCCTGTGGTCTCTCTGTTCTCCCTGTGCCATACCAGGCTGCTGTCCTGGATGTTGTGTTTCAAATCCCTGCCTGGAGATGCTCTATTTGCCTGCTAGACCTTGTCCAGGCTTCCCTGAGGAGGAGCATCTGCAGCCATCCTGTGGTTCCTCCTGTAACGTTCCTGCTCCTGGGAGAGCAGCCTGGCTGCTATTTTAGGTGCTCTCATGGAGACAAATAGGCCAGACAGAACCTGAACAGTACCTGAACAGCACCATGGTAGAGCAGGGCCACCAGGCCATGTCAGCTGGATCCACGTGGATCTGTCCCTTGGATGGGTTTGGTTTGGATCTGGATAATCTCTGGTGTTTGGCCTTACAGGAAGGTGCAGCTCCCTCTGTGTGTGGGGCTGCAGAGGCAAAACCAACCCTGGTTTTTTGTTCCATCTCCAATCTGAATTGTGTGGGGTGGGTGGGGAGCAGAGGCACCCACAGAGGCAGGGGGGTGAGCAGGAGAGACTGGAGCTGGTGCTCCCTGTCCAATCCTCTGTCCTAGCAAAGGGTGAGAGGGATGCACATGCAGGAAAAATTGCAAGAAGTGCAGTAACTGCTTGCTTTCCCCTCCCAGGAGAAAGCCATCAGCATCTGGGAATCCAAGAACTTCTTCATCGAGCTGGACCCTCTCCCTGGGGCTGTGGAAGCTGTGAAGCAAATGGCAAATTTGGCAGAGTGAGTATGAACCTGTCTGTGGGGATGGACGGAGGAGCAGCTGTGTCTTCACTTCTACCTCTTGGCAGAAGTGCTGATACAACAACAGCATTAAAAATAAATATCTCCCAGCCATCAGGGAAGGGAGGGGAGAGAGGGATTTGACTCCTGGAGCAGTCACATACAACATCAGCCATGTGCAGCCTCTTCCCTTCAGCTCTCTGCTCCAGCAAGGGCTGTAAAAAGGGGGATATGATTGTGCTGTGGGATTCTGTGAGATGAGGGATTAATATGTTAAATCTGTTTGATCTGTGTGTGGTGGGGGTTGGCTTTGGGCTGCTCTAGGCCTGCTCTGGCCCAGAATGACACTCTGGCCCTGTTTCTCTCCTCATGGCAGCACTGATGTGTTCATCTGCACCAGCCCAATCAAGAAATACCGGTACTGCCCTTTTGAGAAGGTGAGCAAGCCCAAATCCCAGCTCCCCTCCCATCCACACTGCCCAGTGAAAGGTGTCTGACCCCTGCATGCCTCTGGCTGTAAAATTTACCTGTTCCATCCATTTGCATGCACTGAGGCTCTTGGTCTCTAGTCTTTCATCATGACATCAAAAGCTGCTTGGCTTTCAAAGAACTTTTACTCCAGCAGCATCCAAATCCCACAAATGAACTTAATTAAGAGAGAAATCCTCCCTGTGTGGGGGCCAGGGCTGCTTCCACTCCACCAAGCACCCCCTGCCCCATCCATCAGCCCTCCCTGAGCTCACCAGCCATCTCTTGCCTTCCAGTATGCCTGGGTGGAGAAGCACTTTGGCCCTGAATTTCTTGAGCAGATTGTTTTGACACGAGATAAGACAGTGGTTTCTGCTGATCTGCTTATAGACGACAGACCTGATATAACAGGTAAGGAGTGAGGGTGAAGCCAAGGGTAAGGGTGACTGGAGGCAGCCAGGGATGGGTGTTGGTCTTTCTGTGCTCTTCGGGTTTTGTGACTTTGGGGTTTTCGTGTTGGAGTAAAATCAACTTCAGTGTCTCATGTTGGAGTAAAATCAAGTTCAGTGTCTCATGTTGCAGTAAAATCAACTTTAGTCTCTCATGGAATTGTGCACCACTGACCTTCCTTGCCTTGCAGGGGCAGAGCAGAACCCCAGCTGGGAGCACGTGCTCTTCACTGCCTGCCACAACAAGCACCTGCAGCTGAAGCCCCCCAGCCGCCGGCTGCACTCCTGGGCTGATGACTGGAAGGCCATTCTGGACAGCAAACGCCTCCCACCCGGCCAGGCCACCTAAACACCAGCCCCCAGGGCCACCTGGGGCTGCAGCCACCTGCCTGTGTCCCTGTGGAGCCCTGCTGAAGGCCACAGCCACAGGACAGACAGGCAGACGCTGTCCCTGCTGCACAGAGGAAGAGGAGGGTGAGCTGAAGCGCCACAGTCACCTGGACTTGAAAAACAGACCCCAGCCCAGGATTGTGCCTGTGGACCTGGGGGGCATTGCCCTCTGGCTCCTGGGGTCTCTGTGCTGCATCTGCACCCCACAGGGCCAGCCCTGTGCTCCTGATAGACAAGGTCACCCTCAGGGTGTCACTGCCCTTGCTTGGGCACTACATGGCACAGAGCAGCTCTGCATCCTCCCCTCCACGGCGTGGTCAGGGATCATGTGTGTGATTTGCTTAGTTCTTGCCAGGTTTCATCCCAAGGGGCTGCCTCAGGAGATCCCTGCCCCTGGCAGTGCCTGGGTCTGGGGAGAGGGGTGGCTGCAAGGGCAGAGAGAGCAGGCAGGGGCTGTCCAGGCTCCCTGCACTGGGAATTGTCACAGCACGTCCCTGGATGCTGTCTGTAGTTCTCACATACTGCAAGGGAAGATGCAGGGGGGATGTTGCTGTTAAAGGCTGGGGAGCTGTGCAGGTTTCAGCCAGGGTAGAGTTAATTTTCTTCACAGAAAACAGAGCCCCATATGAGCTGCTGTGAAAAGAATTAACTCTACCCTGGCCAAAAGCAGCATGGGAGCCCATGAGAGGTGCCCAGGGTGGTTTGTTCTGCAGCTCCACCATGATCCCAGCTCTGTCTGGGGACAGAGGATGCTGCCAGCCCCACTCCCCTGGCTCTGGGCCCCTGCAGAGAGGTGTTCAGTGCCTGGCTGGTGCAAAGGGGTCACAGCTGGACCAGCCCCCTCTGCCAGGGGACAGTGCAGGGGCTGCTGAGCTCTGGGAGCAGCCAGCCCTGCTGGGAAGGTGCAGTTTTGGCCCCCAAAAAGAGAGGGTTTAGACCAAGGGGCAGCTCCGAGAGGGATGGTTTTGGCATAGCTGTGCCCACAGCCTCTTCCTCCCTTGTTTGTCTCATTTTTGCTTCTCTGAGCCTGCAGCAGTCCAGCCTTGAACTTCAGTGACCTGTCTGGCAGGAGAAAGCTGCTGCTGCTGCTGCAGCTGCTGCTGCTGGCCCCAGAGAGACATCCCAGCTGCTGGGAGAGCCTGGCATGCCCTCCTGCCTGTGGCACTGCCACAGGGCAGCCACAGCCTGCCTGTCCCCAGTGGCAGCTGCTGCTGGGCCCCCCCAGGCAGAGCCCCAGGGATGAGCTGGGGGTGTCACTGCTGACACCACAGAGGCCATTGGCCCCCTCTGCTGTGTGTCCCCACGCTGTCCAGGACCCCACTGCCCTCCTGGCCCAAGGACTTGCTGGCTGCAGCAGTGAAATTCCCCCCATGGACACCAAACCCCCCAGGCAGAGGTGGTGGCCAGGGCTTGGCTGGGATTTGCCACCCTGCACCCCATGCTCACACCTTTGCTTTGCCCCTCTGCTCTCCTGTGGACCCCAATCAACGAAAGGACATGAACTTGAAGCTACATAACCAACAAATCATGTAATTCAGCAGTGGCAGCCAGGCCCCTCCTGTGCCAGGAGCTGGAGGGGTTCTGGAGTTGGTGCTTTGGAACCTGTGCCTTCCCTGGGTGCTGCAGGGCCAGGGATAGGGGGGCCTCTGTTGACTTGGGGCTTGCCCTGTTTACAAAGTCAGCATGGTTGGCCCAGGGCAGTAGGACTTACATACCACAAGCATCTTTTTATCTTTTCTCTTTTTTTTTTTCATTTTTCTTTATTGTTTAAACCACTGTGTGCTTCTCGGGGCGGTGGGTTTGGTTTGGAGGGGTTTATTTAAGATGTGCAGCCCCCTGGCCAAGAGCTGGCTGGGGGTTTGCAGGCTGGGAACTGGGGCAGTGTGGGAGCACCATGGGCAGCTGCTGGACATCAGGAACCCCCTGGTTCCTCCAGCCCTCCACCAGCTGTTGGCCCCTCTGTGCAGCCAGGGTGACCTCATGCAGTCCCAGCTGGTTTTTTCTGATGGTACCATGTAAATATGAGCTGCCCAAGCCCCCCAGAGCCTTCTCCCTGCTTATTGAGCCAAAATGAGCTGGCACATCTCTCCAGCAGCTGCCCAAACCTCTCACCTTCCCCCGAGGCTGGGGCAGACCCGAGGGCTGTGGCTCTCTGGGGCCAGCAGGACTTTTCCCCGTGGTGAGATGTGATGCCAGAGATAAATACACCACACCAAATATACTTGAAAGCAGAGCTGGAGTTCCTCGTGCCTGAGGCTCCAGCTCCATGCACAGAGATGCTGAGCTGGTGGCTGCTCTGTTTGCTCCCACACTCAGGACCTGGAGGTGACTCCATCTCTGATGGATCGGCCCGTTCGTCCTTCAAGCCTGTCTGTGTCCAGCTGAGATACACAGAGCTTTTGGTTTTGAATGTGCACCTGTAAACCCGAGGGAAACGAGGAGCACTGCAATAAACACTGGGTTGTTTGGCATCCAGCTGCCTGGAAATGGAGTTGGGGGTTTGCAGTTTCCCAGCCGTGGCTCTGTGTGGGATGGGGGGGTTTCACCTCCAGGTTTGGGAATGTTCCCTTGTCCAGAAAACCTGGAACCAGCCCTGCTGCCCTGGCAGTGCCAGCAGCCTGTGGGCAGAAATAAAGCCAAGTGCAGGGTAGAGCTCATCTTCCTAAAGATCTTTTCTAATAAATAAAGCTGTGAAGTGTGTGTCCTGTTGGGCCACAGAGCCGGGGCTGGGACTGCCATGGGCTGCCTCTCCCTGGGATTTTATGCCTTATCCATCACTGCTGGCTGCTCCACATCCACACACTCCTGTGAGGTGTCTTGGACTCCCCTGTGGGTCTGTGCCATGAGAATCCCTGCGCATGACCAGAACCTGCACACTGTGAGCAGTGCCATGGCCCAGCTGGACATGGGACCTGAGCCAGGGAGGGAGGACTGTGGGACCATCCCAGCAGGGCTGGGACAATCAACATCACAGGGCAGAACCTGGTTGTGTGCTCCTTGTACTGGTGTGGCTCCAGGATGGGGCACAAGGGGTTAGCAGGGTCACATCTCTAGTCCTGCTGGAGCTGGGACACCAAGGGACTCCTGGCCAGCACGGGGACAAGGTGGTTCAGCTGCCAGCTCAAACAGAACTGGGTGAACACGTCTCCAGGATGCTGCTGTGGAGCCATAAAGCTGTTCCAGGGCTGGTTTAGCAACGAGCATCTCTCTGCCCTTCCAGCTGCTTTTTGGGGCTTCCTGGCAGCAAGCGTTGGGCCACAGCTCCTCCTGCATCCCCACTGCCCTCACCCTGCACTGGAGGCCCCATAGGAGACCCCATCCTTCCCTGGCCCAGGGATGGGGCAGAGGGTTTGACATCAGCTCTGCCCTGCAGAGCAATGAGATGGTTTTTAAGATCTCTGGGGCTGCTGGATGGTGGCACTGGGACAGGGTCATGTTTCCAGTACAGGATGGGGCAAGTTGGAGAGGCTGCATCCTGATGGAGCATGCTGAACTGATCTGCAGCTGTGTCTGTTCTTCCACACTCTCCTACGTGGTTCTTTTCCCCTTGAAAAGCCTCAGGTTGCAGATATCACATAAATTCCAGGTGATAAGCAGTTTCCAAAGGTGGCAGAGGCAGAGAGAAGATGGTACACAGGGCACAGGGCAGTGCTCATGGTGCCGGTGGGAGCCTTTGCACCATTCCCATGCGCAGGAGCTGCTGCACAAATGTGCAAACACTCACCTCCCTCAGGGGATTCCCACCTGAGTGCATCCCCCTTGTCCCCAGCCCTAGCTGGCCCAAGGCTGCAGGTCCTGGCAGGGTTGGAACAAGGATGCTCTCCCCTGGATCCTGGAAGCGGCCGCCAGTGGGTGCTCATTGGCTCGGGTGCTCATTAGCTCGGGTGCTCATTAGCTCTGGTGCTCATTAGCTCGTGCTCATGCTGGCCGCTGCCCAAACAGCTCGGAGCAGTGTGAGATCCCGGCGGAGGGGGGAGCAGGAAGGCAGGGGCAGCGGGGCCAGCCCTGACGCAAGGGCGGCGGGGGGTGTGGGACAGAGCCAGGGCAGGGCCGGGCTGCAGGGAGGATGAGTCACCCCAGCACGCAGGAGGGGAAGGAGAGCAGGAAGCGATGGAGCAGCTGGAGGCAGCTGGATGGGCTCTGCTCTGCCGCCGTGCCCAGTTTGAGGAGAGGAGCGGGATGGTGCCCCAGGGTCGCTGCTGGCACCAGGTTTGGAGCCCGGCGGTGCCGAGAAAGCGCGGGCAGGACATGGTGCGGATGGGATGTGGATGGAAGGGGAATATCCACTAGAGGGGACTGTGTGACCGCGTGTGGAGCTGCCAGCCTGCGCTCAGACCGTGTGCCAGCCCTCCTTCCAGCCCTCCCGGTTATCCCAGCCCGGGCTCCAGTGCCCTCTGCACCCCTCCCTCTGGAGACACCGATCACCGGCACCGGGTGATGGTCCGGGGTTACTTACAGGAGCCAGGAAAATCAGAGAATCATGGAATGGTTTGGGCTGGAAGGGACCTTAAAAACCATCTCATTGCAACCCATGGGCAGGCACACCTTCCACTATCCCAGGCTGCTCCAAGCGCCATCCAGCCTGGCCTTGGACACTTCCAGGGATGGGGAAATGTTCTGGGGTGGCCTCCACCAGCTGCTGAGCCTCCCCCCAGCCACTCCAGCTGGATGGGGCAGAGAATGGGATGGGCAAAACATGAATGGCTTCTGGGTTAGAAGATGAACTAGGCACCTATAGGGTCCATACAGAAAAATATCCCTGGAAAAATCAAAGGGTTAAAGCCCCTGACAGCCCAGGGCAGCCCTCCTGTCCCTGCTCAGCTCTGCCCTTGCTTCCCCTGGGACCCCAGAGCTCTCCCAGGGCTGGGATTGCTCATCCTGCCCCGAAAGCTGAAATCCCCCAAGGAGTTGGAACATGACTTTGCCTTTTCCTTTTGCTCACTCTGAAGCCAGAGCCTGTTTTGGGGAGCAGAGTGGGGGCAGATCTGACAGTGGTGAGGACAGGGGGACTGTGGTGGTTCCTGGTGGGTTTTTCTGGCCCTTCCATTCTCCCCTAGCGCCATGATATTATTTCCCTCCAGGTTGGCTTAATGGGATTTGCTTCTCAATTTGTGCACAGGGACTTGAGTAACGCACTCCCCGGAGAGAAATCAACTTCCCTTGCCCCAGCAGTGCTGGGGAGGCCAGAGCAGAGCCCACATGATAGACTGC